CTTCCGCAAAGTCTGTGCCTGACGTGGTTTTCAGTGGTTTGAAAGATAGAAGATAAACCTTCCCTCAATGAATAATCGCTTCTTGAGCTGCGACAACCTTTTTACGAACGTAATGGCTCATTAGATGCGATTGCGAGACCAGCTTTGAACGAGTCAGTGTTCTTATCTACCCCACACGAATCTGGTACCAAGTGACGTTGCTGGAGAGGGAAAAGCTTCATTGGGCCGGGCTGGAGCCGATCCGGAATTTGATCCCATCACCGCGAGTGTGGTAAGCGGTCACTTGCTACTGCACAACCTCGGCCTTTCTTTTTCGTTGGATCCCTAACTTATCCCAGAGAACGGCCCGGATCAGAGGATCGATTTTTCCACGTATTACTATCAGTGTTGTCTCTAGGAAACGGTATGAGGGGGAGGACAACTTTCGTCCAATACCCCAGCCTTATATTCCGTCGAGAGGCAAAAGGGCTTCTCCTCTACGGAACAACTTAAACCTGCCGATGAAGGAAAGGAAGTATAATAACCCTGAATCTCAACAGGTCAAAATCGATCTCCCTTTCTCCCTCGCAGCAGTACAGGACAGCCATTCTCACGCTGAGGAATACTCAGCGCAGGGATTGCACCTTGCTGCTGCGCTCGGACACGCCTATTGGTGTCGGCAGAAGCAGGTGGCCTTTGAATGGTAATCTTCACCTCTTTAGCAGTTTGGTTTTTAAGGGCGTTTTAGGCGTCAGCGTCACAGAATACAAATCTCTGGAGGAGGAAGGAGCTTACAGCCTTGCTCTACAGCGATGGGTACACCAATGTACGATAAGCGAACGGTATGGAATTGGGGATGAAAGACAGGGAATCCGAAGTTTGAATAACAAATCACGTCCGGAAATTCGGAAAGATCGGCTGTGCTTTCACTTCAGAAAACAAAGGAAAGCCTAGTCTTTCTAATCCCTAAACCATTCTTTAAAAACTAAGAAACGAAAATCGGAAACCGGAACAAGCTTATCTGCTCACCAATAAATGAGATGGGCTTCTTGGCGAATCGTAGTCGACCCCAAAAACCGAGATATTTTGAACGGCAGCCAGCTGCCCATAACCGAACACAATATTCAATAGCGAAAAATATCACGAGAAAAATTTCCTAAAGGAAAAGAATGAGTTAGAGAAATTCTACAAGTCTCAAGGAACTTACCAATAAGAAAAGTAGTTCACCAGCAAATCGACTGTGTTGTTCGACCGTTGAGAGAACACTGAGTATCAAACATACCAAAACTACTATGAAAACGCTGAAAGTGGGAGATTACTGGATTGGAATCGTCGGGAAACAGTAAGAAAACCCACCTGAAATGGTACATAAAACACCTCCAACCGGCCGGCCGTTCGAGGCAGTTGTATACCTGGAAAGGGTATGGATTAGATAGTGCTTTGGATATAGCTGGAACTAAGCCAAACCTTGCTTTGAAACGTCGGTTTGGCCGCTTTACGTTCTTTTTGCGTTTTGTAGCGCGAGTCGAACATCTGTAAAAAAGAGAATCAATTAAACATTGGATTCATTACTGAGCAATCGATAGCGTGAGCGTGAGGTATGCGCTGTGCTTGCTTCTTGGTTATTCACCACGAGAAGTGCCCTCACACCGTGTCGTACAGATCGGAATCTTTCCGTTTCGCAGCGATCAATACCCATCTCACACGTGTCAGAGAGGGACCGATTTTCCGCAGTGGAAAGGGACCAGTGAGATCAGGCCAGAGAGCAACTCCGATTTTCCTTCGTGGGAAGAGACCAGTGAGATCAGGGCACAGGGAATCTATCTGCGAAAGAGGCACGGAAATTTTTTACAAAATGTACGAGCTCACTTCGTCTGATTCCCTCCGGTACGACCCCTTCCCATACAATCGACTTTCAAGATCTCTTTTAAGTCGCGCACCGTTTTCAAAGCTTACACTTCCGCTTTTCCCCTAAAGAGGGTGCCCTCAGCAGGGAGGGGTATTGGGATATACACGCAGTCGGAGTGAGCGTGACCTTCGAGCGAAGCCACTATTGGCCTGCCAGCGACAGAATACGGCACCGAGCCGCTGCTGGAGATCTCGCAACGATGAAGTGCTCTCTGTCCTGTGAAGCCATGGGCTATCGCCAAGAGACCATAAGAACGGATTAAATAGAAGTGCCTCCCACGGTATGACACAGAACTCTCTACATGAGCCGTGTAAAACACGGACGGGTGTAGTTCCGTCTGTGTGTGGAGCCCCACCGCCCTCACTTTCTCCTGTGTCCCACATTCTCCCGAAACGACGGCTCTGCTCGATTCTCAAGTCCAAAGAGCTTCCGGAATGCTCTCTAAAACTTTCTTTGCGAGGGGGGAGGGAAGGGGAGGGAGAAGTGGGGGGGGGGGGAAACACAGGTAGAAACTCAGAATGGTAAAAATCAAAGACATTCGCGCAAGAGCGTAGTTGTGACCCCGCCCGAAACACAGAACCGAAATACGACCCCAATCCCCAACGAAAATTCGCGGCACACCCTCCCTCCCTAATGTGTTCAGATGGTGTGAGTTCTGTTCAGAGGCGCAGAGTAGACTTGGGAATCGTTATTGGGAGGAGTGCGGTCGTTATGTTTAATTGTGATGGAGGGATCCTTATCGCGGTCTCTTAGAGTTGTATTGGCTTAGTTGACTGCAACTCTGTTAGATATGTGGTGGTGTTGGGTTGGGGGTATTGGAGAGAAAAAATTTTCCCTTAATTATCAGAGGCGTGCTTTGTTTCTATCTGAACCGATTATAATGAATAGTTACTCAGGGCCTGATTCGCAGATTTCCATGCTGTCCTATCCAGAACGCAGATATTTCCCTACATAACCCATAGTTCACTCGTGACAAGCTTGCCTGAAAATCAGATCCCGCTCAGATCAGATTCTTTATCAGTTTCTATCACTAGGCTTCCAGGAGGATAAAAAAGTGGCAGTCATGGAGTAATTCATGAAAAAAGTGATAAGTGACGCGAATGAACTCTGCTAGAGTTTGGCTAGGGCGCAGTTTGCAGTTCGGCGACGGGGAGGGGGGCATTTTGCACTTTCGTTGCTTCACTAGTCGGTTTACAAGTCTCACTCTGGTGAAACCTGTGAACTCTTGTGAAGCTGGAGCAAGCTCGTCAAGCCATCATGGTAAAACCTGTCAACTCGAGAAGAGGCTGTCTAGATGGGTCGACACGTCGATGGAGTAGCAGAGGTGCAAAATGCCCCCCCCCCCCCATCGCCGAACTGCGCCGGAGAGGATTATAGGGCGCGTAACACCAACATCAGAAACATACGAATCAGCTTTTTGGTCTGAATAGTCAAGAACATCTAGTGCTCTAGTACAACATTATGCTAAGGGCCTGAATTAATTCTGAGACCGTGTTTGCGACACAAAAATCGATAGTAATGCTTATTTGATGTCACGACGAACGAGTAAGATCCTCTCTAATCTTGATACTCTCTGATCGTTGGTCCGCAGACAGTGACCGACTCCCTTTTCAGCTGTTAATGCATACAGAACACATCAATCTTGTTCGGGAGACGGCCAAGAGAATCGTAGTATGCCGCTTCGCCGCACGCGGCGATGGGCGCGGCGTTCTCCTAACTCGTGTCAACCTGACGATGGAGCACCGGCCCCCATGCAGACCCCGTCATCGTAGACATTCATGATTATTTTCGGGTTCTGAATCGCCTGTTGTCGCCATCTACTACCTGGAACCATCGTCATTTGTGGGCGCGACGTCGCACGCGACGCCCCTAGCGCGGTAAATTACGATTCTCTTG